TGACAGCGGACGCCTGCTTATCAAGTAAGAGCTGTGGGTCCAGGAAGACCCCCCCCTCAAATGTTTAATCCCCCAAATAAAGGATTATATGTGGCCATTTAAAGGGGGTGCTGAAAAGCATCTTATATTTTAGAACAGAACTCAGTAAAAGGTATACATTAAGGAAAATCCATCTGTGGATATGTTAGGAGAAATGCTGGCAAAAATGCATGGGACTTTGAGTGCAAAGTGTAAAAGAATCAGTTGAAAAAGATTCCTACTCTCCTTCCTCCAAATATCCTACCCATCTCTTCCCTCACTCCCAGAACTGCCATTTGAACAAACAAACAAAAAACCCTCCCATACTCCATGTAGAATATTCCACTAAAAGTGGAATCCGATCAAGAGCATTAAAGCCATTAATTCTATTACAATAGAATGAAGCAGGAAGGGAACCTACTCAGACGATGCCACCATCCAGACTGAAAATGCATGCTGCCACTTATACATTCTCTTAATTTTTCATGACCAAGTGGGCAAAATGGATGAATTCCAAATAGCAAGCTGATATCTTTTTTTCCATTGACAAGAACCGGCCAGTGAAATGGTTCAGTGCTTCTGGTGGCTGTAAAATGCTCCCTTTCTGATGTCACCTGATTGTAATAATGTGATGTGTGTGTTCAGTTTATAGAAGCATGATGGCAAAACGAAGACAGGTCCGTTCGCCAAGCTTGCCGTAATTGTCTGTCATAGAGACCAACTCTGATATGTGTTCTGTGTCTCAGATCATCGAAACAAGACCTCCTAATCCTTATGCAACTCCTGCAAGTGCAGAAGGAGGTATGACATAGACTCTAAATAGTGCCCTGGTAGAAGTCAGGCGGGAGGGTGGGAAGTTTGGAAGTTGCTTATACAGTGGTACCTCGGGTCACGAACTTAATGCGTTCCACGATTCTGGTCGCGAACCGAATTGGTCACGAACCAAATCAAATTTTCCCATAAGGTTCAATGTAAATAAGGTTAATCCGTTCTGAACCGTATGTATTTTTTTTTAACCACAAAAATATGAAACAAAGCAAAGTACAGTACAGTACAGTATGAAGAGAGAGAACACTAACCTTGCTTGAGGTGACACCAAAAAGCTCAAAGTACAGTACAGTACAGTATGAAGAGAGAGAACACTAACCTTGCTTGAGGTGACACCAAAAAGCTCAAAGTACAGTACAGTACAGTATGAAGAGAGAGAACACTAACCTTGCTTGAGGTGACACCAAAAAGCTCAAAGTACAGTACAGTACAGTATGAAGAGAGAGAACACTAACCTTGCTTGAGGTGACACCAAAAAGCTAGTGTCTGTCTGCGACCGCGATCTCGCCTAGAGGAAGCCACGACCACGTGTCAGAGCAGGGAAGATGGCTGCGGGTTGTGTTCTTCACTCGATGTGGAGTTCATGAACGGAAGCAAAAATTTGCGAACGCTGCTGTTCATGAACCGAATTGTTCATGAACAGAAGTGTTCGTGAACCGAGGTATTACTGTAAACCCCAGTGGCTGAGATCTGGTTTTTACTAAACAAAACCACAACATTATGGTTTAAGTGCAGAGATGTGCAATTTGCAAAAGTTCTGGGCTTTGCAAGACATGCTACAAAACTCCAAATTGGGGTTTTATGGAATAAAACAGCTGCGTTTAGCCTCTGCAAGGCTTCTTTAGGAAAAAGTTGACACTCACATTCCATATATACGAGGATAAAAGATTCCCTCACCTGGAGATCATTTGATCGTTTAAAAAATTCTGCCCAATGTTTGTGGGAGTTTGTGGGAGGTGGGTCAGAAACAAATCAGAAATAAATAAATAACTGAGGGGAAAAAGTGTGAAACATACCCCCCCCACCAAAAAACCCCAACAAAATTATTCCACCATGTCAGGACAGCTTTCCCCAATCCAGCACTCTCCAGGTATTTTGGAACCACAAAGCCTATGCTCCTGGGCATTATGGGCATTATAATTCAAAGTAATGATTGGGTAAGGCTGGGGAAGGCTGCTGTTTTGTCAGGAGCCCTATTTCTCTAAAAGCAAATTGCTTGTTGAGAATTAAAGGCTTGGAGTCCTTGGGGTTCTCTGAGCTTGGTTCTTTTCTTGCAAATGTTTCATTACCTGGCTAGGTAACATCTTCAGTGCTAAAATGTTTGGCCTGGAAATGGGTGTTTGGAGGATAGCTCATCCAGAAAATACTGGAGTTTCCTGCAAATCATTGTGGCTCTTTCTCTGAATAATTGGGGATCATCAAGAGATTGGGTACTTGGCAGTGGTTGGTGATGTCATCCCAACTCTGGGCAATAGTTGATTTTAATCTGGACATCTGTCAGGTTTCATGGAAGCAAGATGAAGACGGTGTTCATGCAACACACTTAAGCTAGTTGTTGAATTTACCCATTTGCACAGTGCACTGAAACATAAATTAACCAAACAGCCTGGGGTCACACAATATATCAATCCACCAGAAAAATCACCAAGGTTAACCAACTTGGTGTGTTGTCTAAATGGAATTATTCAATGTGTAACTGACCTGGTTAAGAATGTTGTGTGAACGCAGCCAGAACTGCTGAACTGTTCCCAAAGAAACTAGATGGGGCAGTATCGTTTGAGACTTAAAGCACATTTTAAAGCCATTTTTAGCTCCTGTGCTGTTGTGGGTTTTAAAAAATTAATTCAGTCGCGTAGAAAACTAATTCTGCAGGATTTTCTGCTTAGATAGATACATACATTTAGGGAAGTTAAAAACAGGTTCATGTTCTGCAGTCTGAAAAAATATGCTCCGTTCTGCCAACTCATTCTACCATATCCATAGACCAAATCCAAAATTCTAGATCAATTTAATTAAATATCAGTAAGCAATGTCAATTCCATACCATCATGTTCATGTACCTAAGCAAAATAGGGTAATTGACAATGATAACACCATAGACAGGTATCCTGAAACATTCCAGTTCCTTAACAATGTTGAAACTGAATGCAAAGCTATAATTTATCCAATGGATTTCATGGCTGAGCAGAAATCTGAACCTGGGTTCTCCCCATCCTAACCCGATGCTCACTGATTTTCTTTACTAGGACCACATTCTTCCATCCCTCTCAAATTCTATACCAAAGTGATTTCCAACACTGAAAAGAGAGGCTTCAATTCTCAGGTGAAGAGATTTCAATATCCTGAGGTAAGAGCCATTCTATTTCATCCTCCAGAGTCTGGCACATCTGTTTGAGTCTTGAGATTGTCTGTGAAGGGATTTATTGGGGAATATACCCCTCTGATTGCAGGTCTGCATAGCTCAGGTTGCCACTTTGCATCATTGGTGTTCTCTGAGCCTGGATTTTGTGCTGCAGAGTTTTCATTACTCTAGTACAGTTCTCAACCTTGGCAACTTTAAGATGTGTGGACTTCAACTCCCAGAATTCCCCAGCTAGCCATTGGGGAATTCTGGGAGTTGAAGTCCACACATAAGTTATCTACTGCAGCAGTGTTTCTCAACCTTGGCAACTTTAAGATGTGTGGACTTCAACTCCCAGAATTCCCCAGCTAGCCATTGGGGAATTCTGGGAGTTGAAGTCCACACATGAGATGGTTCTGTAATGTGTGGACTTCAACTCCCAGAATTCCCCAGCTAGCCATTGGGGAATTCTGGGAGTTGAAGTCCACACATCTTAAAGTTGCCAAGGTTGAGAAACACTGCTGCAGTAGATAACTTCGTCAGGCCAGGAGTTGGTTGGCTGGCTGATGTGCTTCAATGAGATGGTTCTGTAAGCAATGCTGTTTTGTCAATGATGGATGCCTCATAGCTGGGGGATTTATCTGGTGAACGATGTGGTGGGTGTCTTATCTGGATGTTACTTTCTTCCTGTGTGATGTTGATGTTAATAGGTATGTAATGGGACAGCAAGTTGGGGACATGTTGTTCTCTCCCAGTGCTCATTGAACTGGAGTTGGTTATCGACTGTTAAGTTGATAAGGGTATGCTCTCATTTATCTAAGTCTTGGTTGATTGCTGTGTGATGCCTGAGGGAAATGTTGTGTATCGTCTGCTCCGTTGGATACAGAAGGTACACACTGATATGGAAAAATCAGCTTCTGTAAGCCACATAGCATCTCAAAGCCTTCTTCTACCATAAACAGATTTCCAAACTGGTTTTTATACCAGATGAACGGTCACGGTTGATACCAAGAATCCTAGAAATCATGGTCATGGTTGATACCTAAAATCCTTCCTTTGGAAAGGAAGTTGAGACTGATTTAGTCAGAAAAGATTCTCCTACTTTGGTATCATGTTTCTTTTTGACCAGTAGAGGACAGTAGAGCTTCACAAATGAGGAGACCCAAGCTGCACTGTGGGAGAAAGCACAACACACACATTAGCCCCTTTGTGTGTGTGTGTGTGTGTGTGTGTTGCTTGTTTGTTTCTTTAAAGTGAAGCTTCCCACTCTGGTGCTTCCATGGAGTTAAAAGATGAAAAATCGAATCATACATCATTGGTTGGCTTGACGTGCTCCAATGAGATGGTTCTGTAAGGATTCAAGATTAATTCAAGGACTGAAGACATTTAAAAAAAAAATAAATCTGAATTTCAGTGCAAAATCCATTGCCTTCCTGAGGAACAAACCATCAGCATCCTACAGGCCAAGATCTTCTTTCTCTTTCCAGAAGCAAAGGTGTGGTGTCTTCTCCCCTGCTTCTTAATGTCTGTGCCTATAAAAGGAGGCTATTTTATATGACTTTGCTTTACACAGACACAAACGTTCCCACTGGGGGAAAGTACGTGCTCTTAACACCTGAAATGCAAACAAAACGATTTTATTTTGAAATTATATACGGCCAGTTACCAAGGTCTCTAGCAGGTGGCCATAAAGGGCTACAAGCCAGTTAAAATCAAGGGAAAAAAGAAATGAATAAATAAGTGATTTGCTTTTGTGACTTGAGTTCTCCTAAGAGAGAAAGGCAATGGTGTTACTAGATATGTGCTATTCACTAAAGCAGTGTTTCTCAACCTTGGCAACTTTAAGACGGGTGGACTTCAACTCCCAGAATTCCCCAGCCAGCCTGGCTGGTTGGGGAATTCTGGGAGTTGAAGTCCACCCGTCTTAAAGTTGCCAAGGTTGAGAAACACTGAACTAAAGGAAGGTGCCATATTTGTTCATTAATCCACGTTCCCCATTTGTTCATAATGGGACTCTGTCTTACCCTCCTCATTTCTCTCAGCCCTTTCCACTCACACTTTCCTTACTGGGGACCTTTAGCATAATCCAGCCCTTACTGTATAAACATTACGCCTTGCTGGCAAAATGATCTGCTGCCTGCTTTCGGTTGCCGTCCTTATGGTTCATAAAATGTATTGCCCGCATTAGGGATGCGAAGAATATTTGAAATATGCTAACTGACTGATGAACAGGCAAGGATTTGTATTCCTCCCCCCCCCTCGAAACACCTCCCAGAAAACCTACCCATGATTGATCCAGCCTGATCTAGTCACATGACCATGCCTCCCCCAAAGCAGTGGTGGGGAAGGGAGGGGAAGCGCCATGAGATTTACACACCGTGGCTCAGGGTCAGATGAAGCAGGAGAAAGGGATTACTTTCCGGAATGGAAAGATCCAACACAAGACTGTTCATAGTGTGAGCTAGGAATGAGATAAAGCCAGCTTTGTGTGAACAGGTGTGACAGAGGGCATCAAGGCTGCCTTGTGTCCTGGGGTCGAGGTATGTTGCACCTGGGAAAAGCAAACTTCTCTTTCGATCAGCACTTTTCAAGCTTTTCAGAATTCCTGCTGGCTGGGGAATTCTGGGAGCTGAAGTCCACACATCTTAAAGTGGCCCAGGTTGGAAAACACTGATTTCCACGACTGGCCAGTCTTCAGGAGAAAGGAGCAGATGGGAAGAACGGTCTCCCAGACCTCCTGTTCTTCAGCCAGGCCAGAGGCCCCGCTGGGCTGCCCTCCCTCCTTCTCCTCCACCTTCAAAAATAATGCGGCTTCCCGGCCCCCTCCTTCCAAGAGCTGGCTGAGGCTCCCGACTCTCCACGCCAGCGACCCAGAGCCAAGGAAAGCATCTTGGCCGGGCAACAGAAGAGCCATGCCCGTCGCTCCGTTCTCAAAGCCAGAAGCCCAACTGGCAGCAGCCTTTGAAAAGCCTGAAGTCAGCTCCACAATGTGCCCCTTTCTCCTCCCACGAATTTCCTGCTTCATAACTCTCGCAGGCAGGGAGCCAAGCCACAAGGAATACAAAGATTTGGCAGACTCTCGACTATCCCTAGAGAATATTTGCTTCTTCCCAGGTTTCAGGGAGAGAGAAGCTGGCATCCCGACTTTTTTTTTTTTTTTTGCAGCTAAGACAGTCTGCAGGCCTGGCAGGGCGTCTGCAGGGTGTGGCGAAAAAGTCAGGGTGGCAGCCATGATGGTGAGATCAAGCTCCCCCTGTTTTTAGGGCAATGCGTTGCACATCAAAAGCAGAGTTTTGGTTGCTCCGTCATGGATGCCATCTTGACTTTTTTGACCATACCATGCAGTCACCCTTGAACAGCATAGGGTTAGTAGAGGAGGCACAAAGCGCAGACTCGTGTCTAACATTTTTGGGATTGGGAGGCAGGCAGGAAGGGGGCATTGGAAAACAACTGGAAAGAACAAAAAGACTCAGTATATATTCTTTACTGTGGTTTTATCTAGGCAGAGAAGGCAACTCGGTGTCCAGCAGGTTTCCCTGTCCCACCTGGATCCAGGGACATTCACAAACGAGTAAAAAATTCAAGTGGTGGCTGTCACCACATAATCCAACCTGCCCCTTTTGCAAGTGTGTGGGGCATGCAAAGCATCTGGAAGGGGAAGGGAGCTTTGAGTGCACAGTTGCAGCAGCCATCTTGACTTTTTTGACACCCCCCAGATTCCTCTGGCTAGATCTATACATCATGCCACGTCAGGGGTTGGCAGTCTGGGGTCATGAGTACTGCAAGTCTGCATCGCCAAAATTCAGCAGCAAAAGGCCCAAACTTTGCCTGCACATTTGTCTTCTGTATTATGAGTGTGAAGGGTCCTGCTGCTCTCATTCCCACCTTTAATTTCCCTAAATTCCTCCTATATAGAAAAAAAAATTCTTTGGGAGCCAATTTTGGGGAATTTGTTTTTTAGAATTTGTTTTTGGGGAATATGCTTTTTAGAGACCTCCCCCTTCAATTCCTCTTCTTAAAACCCGGAGAAAACTGGCAATCAGAAGATGACCACCTTCTCGTGGTCTGTTGGTCTCCTGTGCCTCTCCAGAAAGGCAAGAGGTTGAATCATGGCCCCAACTCATCAAACATTGCCACAATATGGTTTGTTTTACTTCTATCACATGAGCTCAGATACTGTTTCTAAACCATGATCTGTGGCTTCCTGGGTTGTGGTTGCTCAACAAAGTGTGATTAAGCCCACCACAGCTTAGTGCAAGGGGTGAGCCCGGTCTGAATTCTCTAGAGGTTGCCCCGGCCAACATCGCTGTTTTGCTGGACTCTGCGCATCCAGTCCTGACTTACCCAGCCTTAAGGCCATCTTTGGATGAAGCCCTACGTGTCACCTGCAGAAGACGGAAGGTGGTGTTCAGGACAGCCAGCTTGTTTTGCTTTCTCTCCTTCTATAAATAGAAAACCCACCCAGCCCTCTCTGGGGAATAAAAGAAATGTCGTTCTGGATGGAAAGTTGAGTCAGGAGGGGTGTGGCTCCTTGAAATAATACATTCTGCCCACATGCTGAAACAATTCAGGGCAAATCAGATGTCTAGGTGGGATTAAGCACGCCACGGATTTGTGCTCCACGAGTCTCTGTATGCCGTTGCACAGACGCAGGAGAAACATAATCTTCCACTTGAGGGCTGTTTTGCCATGCAACTTGAGACGCTCCATTAAAATGAGATTATTTTGATTTTGAAACAAGCAAAGAAGAACCTGCTTGGAGGCCGGTGACAATTGAGCAAAAAGAGAAACCACGACCCAGCAAGACATGGAGTGGCTTATGAAAATGGGAGGGGTATTCACATTATCATGCCATTGTGTGTCTCCACCTATGAGTTCACCCTCGTGTCAGGTAAACCCTCCATGCCTAGGTGGTGGAAAGCCCTTATTCTGGCACCAAAATAAAAAAAAATTGGCACCTTATTCTGTAGTGGCTCCCAAGTAGGGCAATGAACTCTTGACGCTTTTGGGTCAATTTGGCAAAGTTGCGTATTTTAGCATACCCATAAAGAATCTTTGTTTACTAGCAGTGTGCTTAAGTAGCAAAACAAGCCCTTGCTTTTTTTTATAGAAGAGCAAAAAAGGACGCCTATTTTGACATAAGGTCACTGATTGGTACTGGTCACTGAAAATAGTGTTTGTTTTTCAGTCTGCACATCAGTTCATTGCTGGCAACTTTTAATCAGCGATTCCCAGCTTCCTAAAGGGACTGCTGTATCTCCGAGCTTTTTGTAGTCACCATATAGTACAGTAGATGGGATCCCAAAAAGAAATGAAAAAAAAAATTTTTTTTAATTGTAATGGCCAAAATCTTATATGATCACCACCTCTCACAAGAGTTTGGTGTTCCTAGGTGAAATCTAGTGAGTTTTGGAGGGAGAAGGCCAAATCTCCCAAATTTTGAGATTTTCCAAGATTCTGGCCCTTTAAAACATTTTTGGATCTCAACCAGGATAGACCTGTAGGACTTTTATGGATCACCAGTGGACTTTGGAGCACATGTGGGGAGCCCTTGCTTTAAATCAAGCAAGACAATTTCAGAAAATCTAACTTTTAAGTGACAAACATTAACACATACTGGGAACCCCTCCATGTTTCTTCTCTTATAGCTGTTTGAAGGACTCATTGATCAGCCCCATTTCCTGAATATTGGCAGGCAAACCATTGTGACAGCTTCCTAATGATTGTTGTGTTTCTTCCAGAATGAAAATCCAGGGCCCGGGCTTTATAATGTCATCCATCAATCTATGCTTCTCAACAACGTCTCCCAGTCTCGGAAAGGAACCTGTTTTTTCCCTTCTTTGGTAAGGCCCGTGGTTTATGTAAGTGGTATTTATGTACAGAGGAGAAATGACAGAAATAAGGTCACACTATCATCCTTTCTAGCTCACACTTGTTTTCCTGCTGTTTAGGAGCATTGCATTAACCGTAAGGGTGAGTTTCCTATACTTAGGAAGAGATCTGTGATAGACAGATAGAAATGCACTCACCCACTGGCAGAGATTGCTGTATTTCAACTTGACTTTGACCCTTAAATGTAACCTACAAAAGAAATGCCTTTAAAATGTAGTGGAATCAACTAACCCTGATCTTAACCTTAACCCCAACATTTGTGTGCTTGCTTGTCCAGAACTGGATTCACCCATCATAAGAAGCTAAAATATGATTCTTCAGTTTTGCAAGTTGGGGGAAGTCAGCCATTTATAAACCAGAGTTTACATCTTAGTGTATTTGTGAAGCCAACCAATGGTGGTTTATTCAATAAACCATGGTTAAACTTTGGCTTAGTACTATCAACAAACTCAGCTGTATGGTGCTCATTCCCAAGACCAAACATGTATTACTCTGGAGAACAATTTCTGGTGTTCAGTGGCTACCAAAGTCTTTCATAACTACCAAGTGGGAATATGTTTATGAAGATATGTTTACCAAGATATGCTTACCAAGTGGGAATATTCAAATGCATCTTTCCAAGACAGTCCTATAAATATACTTTGGAAACCAGAGTTCTGCTCCATTCTCTTCTTCATCAGACATATTTCCAAACTGTGCTTTTAATATGACAGAGTCTGAATTCTGGAGACTTGACATCTTGGAGTAGAAAGGAATGCAAGCTGAGATTTCTTGACTGATTTATTATGTGCCATCAAGTCGGTGTCAACTCCTTGTGACTATATAGATGGTTTTCTCCAGGAGGATCTGTTCCCAACTCTTGGTCCTTCAACTTTCTGAAGGACTGAGAACTGAGTAACTGAGTCCATCCACCTTGTTGCTGGTCGTCCTCTTCTTCTCTTTCCTTCTACCTTTCCCAGCATTAGAGCCTTCTCCAGAGAGCTACAGTAGGTCTTCGCATTATGTGTCCCAAGTAGGATAATTTGAGCCTGGACATTTGTCCCGTGAATGAGAACTTTGGGTTGATTTGTTTGATGATCCATTTCTTCATTTTCTTGGCTGTCCATGTTATTCTCAGGAGTCTTCTCCCACACCAAAGTTCAAAAGCATCAATACTCTTTCTATCCTGATTTTTCACGAGATTTCTTCCCAAACAATAATGAGTAGAATGTGGTTGCTAGGAGTCAAAAATGACTTGATGGCACATAATCAGATCAGATTATCTCAATAAGCTTTACAACAGCCCTATGAAGTAGGCTGGTCCTGACAACTCTGAGCTGGCGTTTAAACCAGACTCATCCCTTGGAGTTCATGTTCTTAACCAACTTGGTATACCAGCTTGTTTTAATTTTGAGAGGATTTTAATCACATGGTACATTTTAATTCGATTAATGTGGTGAGAGCTTATATTTACGTCATCATGGAGACAATATGTCCAAACTGTCACTGGGGTGGCAAATAAATATCAGCTGTCACCACATTGAGTAAAGGCCTAAGAAAGAGTTGCTATGTGAAAGCGGTGCAATAAATCAGCTTGCAGTGATTTTACAACTCCAGGGAGGAGTTGGTTCTCACTGGGATGCAAATTCTTGTTAAGATGGCAATCTCATCACAAAGATGTGAGTAGGGAACCAAAAGAAAATATACTCCCACAACCCGCCCATGAAAATGAACACAACATTTGCCCCTGGGCTTTCTGGAGATAACACCTTTTGGCACCACATCCCCCAAAATCCTTGGTGAGACACATGGAATGTGTCACTGTCATGAAAAGATTGTCATTCCTTGTCTTAGATTTAGCCAGCAATGTAGAAAAATCAGACATAACTGTTCTTTTTGGGGTAGGGGGGTGGTGGTAAAGCTGACCCAATGGTGTAAAGTCCCCACTGCTTCGTTTTATTACAATCTTTGCAGGATGTCCGAATCGCTCGCCAGAGAATTCCCAATTATCCTGCTTCAAATGCCTACGACCTCCCACCCTCTCTGCATTCCAAGAGGGACTTCAGCTTGGGGTACTCTAGCATGTTTCATCCACCATTCGCCAGGAAGATTTCCAAAAGGGCCACGCCAGCCCCCAACCAATACAATGTAAGAAATTATGTATAGCCACAAGGGAAGGGTGGTGGAAAGCAGAAAGCCGGTCTGGAATTCAGAGGGTTGGAAAGAGGCAGGATGGGGAACTGATTGAGGAGGATGGAATTCCTTCCTGAGCTGCTGACTTCTATCTTATTGAAAGCATTTATTCATTAGACCATTTCCATCAAAACTCATTCATTAATACAGATGAAAGGGGGAGGAGGTGCATTTGATTTTTCCCAAGAGAGATGTGCATAAACCAGGTATGAACTCAGTCCAGCCCTGCCTAGCTTTCTTGAGATCAGCCCATGTTGGTTAAGTGACGCCACCTGCTGCGACAGATAGAAAGTTAATACACTGAATAACATTTAGAAACAAACAAATAATCAGAAACAGCATTCTCCAAAAGAAAAAGGAAAAAAAAAGCAAATTAGATGCACATATCTGGAAGGTGGAATGGATGGCTTTATTTTTTTATATCAGACAGAGTGTAGCAAAGAGCAGAGTCAGGGATGAATTACAGGAAACAGATATATCAGGCCACGAGTGGACCATGTCAGTCTCACCTGTGTAGATTCATAAGCGTGATCTCTCCTGGTTTGCAAGAGACCTACAGGGGTAAATAAACAAACCTTCTTCTAGATTACTCCACATTTTATGCATTGTAAAAGACATGATTTGGTACATTTGTATTACTTCTTCTCTGACCCCTGCCTTTTTTGTAGCATTTTATCTGGGGAGGAGTTTCGTAGACCTTGAAAGCTTGCCCAATGTTTTTGGTATTGTGGTTGATCCTAACAAAGGTCCTGGCCAGCTATGGAACAGAAGAGTGTACAGTATGGTTCAAGAGTAGTTTGTGTGAAGTCTTAATGCAGAGGGAATAGGGAATGGCCTTGAAGACAGGAGGAGGAGCTGCTACCAAAGCAATGGTGAGATAAGAGGGGCTTGAGCCCAGGCCAAGAAAGTCACTTGAGAAAATGTCTCAGACAAGCCCCTCTCATGAAGACAAAAGGAGAAAGATCTATAGTCTACTAAAAGTAGTTCTGACCTGTAAGGCACTGGTTTCTTAGTCTGGTTTACCTCGTAGGGCTGACCCTTAGCTTTCATTAGCTACCTGGTGAGAAGCATAGAAGGATGAATGGATGGTGGTATGATACTGAAGAAAAGGCAACTGATCTTGCATGCATCTCTCAGTCTTTGCCCCAAAGTCATTCCCTCTTCTGCAGTTCGCTACTATATTATCATCAGCCATTCCCACCCTAATAAAAATATTAACTGATGCTCAGTATTATGCAGAGGATTTCTCCTGAGAAGAAGAAATCCTCCTGAGTTAATCACTAACCCATGATTTACTTTTAGACCTACCTTAATGCATAACCTTTGGAGGAGCCAAACAGGAAATGATCTGTTAAAAAAAAAAGTAGACAAGCACAATAGTTTATGGCTGTTGGTGAGGGAGACCAAATGGGAAGAAATGAAGGGCTCATATTTGCAGCATGTATTCAAGCAAAGTTCACGGTGAGAAGAAAAAGGAAGAATTGCATTAGGACTCCAGATTGGGCTGGAGGGTGAAAAGTAAGCTTGAACAACAGAAGAAAAACAAATCAAAATATTTTCTTTGGGGTTTCCGCCCATTGCTCAATTTGTTTGTTTGTTTTTAGGCTTATAAGACCCACTTTCCTACAGAAGCTCAAGTCATTAGATCTGTGTTCCTTAACCTCAGCAACTTTAAGAACTGTGGACTTCAACTCCCAGAATTCCCCAGCCAGCATGCTGGCTGGGGAATTCTGGGAGTT